ATTGGGGAGGGGAGGAGCAGCTACAAAGGCAAGAAGTGACTGACTTACAAACTTTCAAGAAGGAGCCCAATTCCAAAGGGTGCAGGGAAAGGTAGAATCTCCACTGAGTAGTTTCCAACCTGTCTGGACAGGGCTGTTGAAAGGAGATGGGGATAAGACTTGTGGTTCAGTGGTGAATAATTGCTATCAGGACTGACTGTAAGTGTTGGAAATGTAAAGGTAGACATTTTGTGGCAAAGGAAGGGGAGTGGTTGATTTTGCAGTCCAGGAGCGGAGGTCCCTGGCACCATCAAGGAAGAAGAAGAGCAGAGTGCGGGACCCTCTCCAGAGAAGCAGTGATACCAGAGATGGAGGCAGAAACGATGTGGAGAGATCAAGCAGCTGGGGACTCTGGACTCAGGGAGGGAGAGGGGCTGTGTGTTGATGGCTGGAAGCCAGGCTTGTGAGGTATACCCTTTGGTTGTTTGATGATGCATGGAGGGGATTGTAATCACTGCATTGAAATGAAATAAGAAGGGGTAGGTGTGGGGCTGATGTTCTCCCATGTGAACTGTCACATAATTCACAATTAAAACTTAAAAATCAAAACAAAACAAAAAAACTATGGCCTGAAGACCAGGTATAAAATTTATCAAGAAAGAAATTTTGAATGGAAAGTATAGCTAATGCATTTATAATTTAGATAGAATAGCAGTATTATTATTTTATAGAAATATGACAGTTAATAAAATTGAAACTCAATGAGATAAAGTAATTTGTTCTGAGTTACACAGCTAGCAGAGGTGAAGTACAAGATCTTTTGTGTTATATAATTAACTGATATACTGCACGTTGTGTAGACTATTGTGTTGGTTAGGGTTCTGTGTCAACTTGATTAGGCCAGGATTTTCAGAGGCTTAACAGTTGGGATGTGCTTACTCCCGAGGTGATGAAACCTAATACAGGCATAGTTAGCTCTATGATGAGCGGCTATGAGCAGCCAATCAATTGAAGGGAGCCTTCCTTGGGTGTGTGGCCTGCTCTCAATATAATGGACATGTGGGAAGGGCTCTCTTTCTCTTCTGCTGGGGACCTGGGACTCTACAATTGTAAGATAATAAACTTCTCTTTATATATATATATATGGAGCACTGGTAGTGTTGTTGTTATTGTTAGGTGCCATTGAGTCGGTACCGACCCATAGCGACCTTATGCACAACAGAATGAAACACTGCCCGATCCTGGGCCAACCTCATTACTGTTGCCACACTTGAGTCCATCAATGCTGCCACTTGGCCAATCCATCTCATTGGGGATCTTCCTCTTTTTCTCTGACCCTCCACTTTACCAAACATGATATCCTTCTCTAGTGACTAGTCCCTTCTGACAGTATGTCTGAAATACGAGAGACAAGTTTGGCCATCTTGGCCTCCAAGGAGCATTCTGGCTGCACTTCTTCCCAAATGGATCTACTGGTTCTTTTGGCAGCCCATGGCACCTTCAATACTCTCCTCCAACACCATAACTCAAATGCATCAATTCTTCTATGGTCTTTCTTATTCACTGTCCAGCTTTCGCATGCATATGATGTTATTGAAAACAGGTAACGTAGTGGTTACGAATTTCAGAATAAGCCGTTCAAAACTACTAGCTGTTCCGCGGGAGAAAGATGAGGCTTTCTGCTCCCGTAAAGATTTACAGCCTCAGAAACCCTGTACAAGGTTGCTATGAGTCGGAACTGACTCCATGGCACATAACAACAACATACATACATACATATATAATTGGGCAGTGTTTCGTTCTGCTGTGCATAAGGTCGCTATGAGTTGGTACCAACTCGATGACACCTAACAACAACAACTATATATATATATAGGCCTGACCTGGAGGTGCTGTGAGCCATTACTAGGACCTCTTTTGAACAGGGCTTTATAAATGGGTTTGAGTCAGGCCCAGAAGGACTGGAGTTACTCTGACCCAAATCAAAAATCTTGCTTGAAAGGGAATATATATATATACATACATATGTTTCACTGGTTTTGCTTCTCTAGAAAACCCTCATCTCTGCCAAGATATTTGGAAGACAACTATCTGGC